CATTCAACTTGTCAATTTTGTATTTACCCTGCCTTTTTTTCACCTCTTAACCACGCCTGTCAAAAACTTTGCAGAAATTGCTTTGACTGCATTTGCTGGTCAAAGTACTGTAAGAAGACCAGCTGCATGGAACAGTAAACAAATGAATGGCAATAACTACAGATTAATGGACAGTCACAAGGCAAGAAATGAACATTAAATCTAAACTCTGCCACCTCGCTGCACATCAAGTTTGCAGGGGGGATTTTCATTTCCTTCAGGCAAATCATAGAAAAGAAAAGTATTCAGAATAAATTTAATTCAACTTAAAGCCCGGTCAAAAAAAAGAGGCAATTTAATAAAATTATATAAACACTATATTTTTCATGCAAATTATAACTTTGGTATTTGGTATTTTAATGAAACTCCATCAAAAGTCATGCACATTTGTTGTGTTGTGTAAAAGAGAATTATCACTTGACAAAACTGACTTTTAAAAAAGTTTTGGGGGGTTGATGCTTTGCTCAAAAGTCTGTTTGAAATCCACACATCCAATCAATTTACACCCATTATATCTTTTCATAGATGGATAGGCTTTTGATGATGCACCTGTTTTGGACTGTTAATCAATCCTCAGAGGTCAATGTTACCGTGACCTCATTACAGCGCCCTCATTTGACGGGCGCACCTGTCTGGGCTAGTAATATGCCAAGGTGCATGATGGTCAATGATGCCTCTATCCTTTTATCTTAGACTTCTCTGGAATTTGGGTTGATGCTCAGAGAGTAGTCTGGGGTATTTATGGATACCTTACATGTAATAGGCCAAGGGTGAGATGTACATGGATGTTTAGGTACACATGTAAAGTGTACAAACCGGTATATGTAACGTATGCTTATGTTATGAAAAGTTGAGTTTATCATTTGAGAAATTTCAAAAGTTGATCACATTTACAGAATAAAATTCTGCTGTAATTGAGACAAATCCTGCATTGCCCAAATGATGCATTAGCTACACTGTATTAGAACAGTCTTACAGATATTACAGAATTAATGTTAAAAAAAAAAAATTCAGAAAAGAATTCAGAATCTTCCTATTTAGTGTCTATAAATAATTGTGTATGTAATAAAACTCTAATTATCCATACCCCATTAGCCTAATAATTACAAACTTGAACAGTAAACTCCATCAAAGCACAGCAAATTGCATTTTAACAAATTGGCATAGGATTTTAACACACCAGATGTACCAATGACGTCAATAGGACCGTGCAACGTGTCAGAGGAGATACCATTGTCTTAACAAGCTGGTGGTATGGGATAGTTTCCCAACAGCCTTGGTTAAGGGATGGAAGGAACCGAGGTGAGAAGACAATTAACTTGCAATGACCTCTATGGAATGGACTGTGAAGTATCAATGTGATATCACGTAGGCACGGTAAGAGGGGGATTTAGCTGGAAAATGTGATCTACCGATGTTTCTGGAAGCCTTCCAACCGGGTGGTATTTTGATACCGCTCATGAAATTAAGGCAAATTGAATCGTGGCTGTGCATATGACTGAAAAGAAGCATGAAAGTCAACTGCAAACAAGTTACTGTATGGAATAGGCAAATGTACATTGTACATGTAAGGCTATCTGGCAATTTGCCAGCTAAGTTAGCCTTCAATAAAAAAAACAACCTGTTCCTGAAGAACAAGAAACAAACTATTAAAATATATTGTCTCATTAATTGTTTCCTGTATATAGTCCAATTGCAAATATCGTTCAACATTGATTAAATATGGCTTTTATCCATAAATACATAAAATATCCGTCCAAGGGTCCCAGGTGTGCTGTCTGATTGATAGACACCTCCACCAACCAACAGCCAATTGGCTATTCAGTTTAAATTGACACCATTCAGACACTGTGTAGTAATTAATCTTCAACCTATTTCTGCATTCCTGCATTTGTGTGGCTTGGGTTGGGGTTGGGGTGTGAAGTTAAGCTAGAGCTAGCCAATGATATGACTAATGAAACCATGCTTATGATAAATTTTTGGGGGGAAAAGTATATCAGAGGGCTTTGTAGATACTGCAACCAATTTCATATGGAGTTGTAAGCATACATTTTCTCAGCACACATTTGTTTAGCTTAAACATTTAACCAGCCAAAATGACAAACATTCAATGTATATTGCATTATAAGTCTCAGCTTGGCAGATGTATTTGCTAAAGCAAGCTGTTTTGGAAGTTCCATGAAACTGACAGGGTTGAAAACCCTGTTGAAATGTCTTTTCAACTGCTCATGATTAAAACCTGAAACAATATGTGGCTGCAGAAAAGAGTGTTTCCTGCAGGACATTGACAAAGTACATTTGTTGCTTTGCAAGTTTGTTTGTTTGGAATCATGCCAATTCCACATTCTCAACTAACAGATCCAATTTGTGAGAAAGAAGTGATCTAATGATCACAGTCTCATCCACATTCTGGAGTACAATCGCAGATACTTGACCCAATGGTCATACCATCATGATGTGTATTCAAATTGAAGTATACTTTGCTTAAACTAAAAGTCGGGAAGGTTAAATTAAAAAAGAAAAGTGAAATTAAAATAGTAATTAAATAGTTTCTTTACAGAAGATGTTTAACACTGTTTCTCGATGATCTTCCACAAAGCCACATGTCAAGATGACAAATATCTACACACAACCAGAATCTGAGAGAAATCTTAAATGTCCCGAAGAATATAAACAGTTTCCGGAAAAGAACAGCCTTAAGAATACTCCTACCGATAATGTCCAAGAAAAATAGATGTTGCAGCAAAATACAAGACAGCCATTTCATGTATCACAAGCATGGGAACTTCTGTGCCTGTCCTCACTCCAGACCCTTTCCATAAAATGAAACATTACAGCCCAAAAAATCAGTCAAACAGTATGCCCTTACTACATCCCCCAATGGCTGCGCATGTATAAACATTGAAAATAATACACATGAACACAAGCATCTTCTTAACAGTGAAACATCTAACACTGACAGTGAATATTAACTTATTTACTGGTCATTTTTCATTCCTTTGTTTGATTGGATTTGATAACTTCTGGTGAAACAAATTTACAGCTTTCCTAAGCATAATAAATAGTTGTACATGTATCCCTTGAATGGGCTGCTCACAATTACAGGAAACCAAAATGGATGGCTGGTAACATTCAGATTTTTAGTTTACTCCAGTTTTATTTTGTACATCTAGCACTGCATTCATATTTCAGTTTTTAATCTACTGGAAAAGAATCACCATCTTGATTCAAAACATCAGAGATGCTGTCCTTCACCCCCTCTGGAATGCCATCAGCCAGACACAGCACCAGCACTGAACATAACTTGAACAGCCAGGGATCCCATGCATGCTTGCTGGAGTGACACCCATATAAGGGAACAGCCAATGTGCCAGTACTTTAGGCCATGGCTACATAAACACAGCACAAGGAGACTTCACACTGATACTGCTTCTACTTTGAAATTATTCATTTCATCATGATCTGCTTCTCTTTGAAATTATTCATTTCATCATGATCTGCTAAGCGCAAAAGGTCACTCAGCATAGTGACAGATTTGCTCAGCGAAAAACAAAAAGCCAGGCATGATGTCATGCCATTGATTGTGAAAGTGATGTCCTTCTTGAACAACATCAATCTGCACATAATAACTACACTGTGCATTAAAGATTTACTGTCTGTGTTATTATTTTAGTTTCAGCTCAAAATCGATTAATTTTCTAATTGCTAATTTATAAAGCAATTTTTTCTAATTGCTGAAGGAAAAAATGCTCACAGTTTAGTTATGGACTAATTACTTAATAATTTATAATTTTTTGGGGGGACCAACAATTGAATTTAGGGACATCTTTACTGCATTGGAGGCACCCAACAAAAAGCCCTTCTTTAGCGAGTGGCAGACCAAAAAAATAGAAGTTAAGTAAGTTGTTTTCATATAATAAAACAAATTGAAAGTTCATTTGGGAAAAAAATACTTGAAATGGTTGAAATAGCACAGACAGATTATCATTAACACTACGAGAATTAATTTGGAACACTGATACCATTTGAAGTTGAGTTTCCGTGCTCTTCAAAAATTCCAGTTTTTTCTATTAACAAATTTTCAACTTGTAGGTTTCATTTCAACCAAACAAACTCTTTTCCCTCCTTTTGTGGTCTGCAAACCTCTAAAATTAATTTTTTTCTTTTTGTTTTGAGCACAAACAGATCCGGTTTGCGAGCAGACTGGCTCCAGGTATGTACATTATCGATTCTGATTGTGGGGCAGGAACCAGCCTACCCCGCGAGAGCAGAATTATTGTGTGGCAGCCAATAATTCAAAACAAAGTAATAAGTCAATAACTAAACATGGGCCGATGTTTTTTTCAGTCGATAACTCATTCAAAAGCGAATAACTTTGTATTGCTAGAAAAATGGCAATTTAGAAAAGGAATCTATATTGTTTGATAAAACTTGAAAAAAGCATGGGTTATGCAGTCTAGGTTATGTCATTACCTTGTATGATGATACCCCTCTTCATTGCATCTGATGAAGTAGTTGTAGCTATGAAAGCTTATGCACACTTTCATTCTAGTTAGTCATTTAAGGTGCTACCTTACTTTTATAAATTTGATTTTGCCTGACTAACACGGCTGCTCACCACTACTAGTGGTAGATTATGTGATTATTATAAAAAGTGCAGGTAATTTGGGGCCAAATCTGAGAGAAAATGCAGTGTGAAAGCCAATAATTTCATTAGCCTCAAGGTTTGCTGTGTGGTCAACATGCACAATGTATTGCATGACTTCACGCAGACCAAAAAAAAAAAGGATGTTGCCCTTATAGGTATAAGGGCAACATCATTTTTTTCAGAGTAATAACACCTATCTTTGGTGTGGGATAAACACTTGCTGAAATGGTGTCATTAGGAAGATGTGATAAATGTGATACCTTGCTGTCCAATCAGAATTTTGCTCACATCATAAAAGAGTCAGACGTCTTACCTCAACTTTGATGTTCTTGTACCCTGATGTCTGCAACTCCAGGGATAACTCCTTCCCAAGTGGCACCTCAACTCTTGTGGATTTCATGTCCTTGGCTCCATAAGGAGAAGACACGGATATCTTGGAAGAGCTTGATGTTGGGGTTTCAAACTTGGATGTGGCAAGTTTAGAAGAAGGCACATTTTGAGATATAGAGGAAGACTTGTCGGTGACCCTGGAGCTGCTTGGAGTGGAGGCTAGTGATGGGTTGTGGATCTTACCAAACTGAAAGGGCTTCTGGCTGACCGGGGTCACAAAGGCTTTCTGTCCTATGGATCGTTTTGGGGAGGAGGGGGCGGAGCCAGTAGGACTATGAGAGGGGGTTGTGCCACAGCTACTGCCACTACAGCTGCCACCAAATTTGCTGGCGGCTTCGCTGACTTTACCTTGAGTACCTGAGAAAAAGAAGGGAAAAAAAGAACTTTTTGATGATTAAAACTATCTTTGCTTCAAGGGGATGAGAGCTGATCTTGACTTGTGAGAATGAGGGATGTAGAAGAGTAGAGTTTGAGCACAGATGCACACACAACTTGAAACCTTTACAAGAGTTCTTTTGATGTTTCAAGTCTTACAAAAATCCAAACAGTCAGTTCTGAAGATAATGCTAAAAAACCAACTCACCTCTTAAAGCTCTATCCTTGACTTTGATCTCCTTCTGGCTGGACGTTTCACTTTCAAAGAATTTACTCTTTAAAGTGTCCAGCTTGGATCCGGATGGAGTCGTCAAGCCAGAGAATTTCCCTTTGGTGGTTTCAGTGGTGGGTGTGCTGAACTTTGACATCCGTGAGCTCATGGAACTTACGTCTTTGGCCGCCCTCCCGTTCTTATCCTGTCTTGAAGTTGAAGGAGTGGACGTAGTAAACCGGTCCCCTGGTTTGGCTTTGGCCGAGTCGGTGGTTGGAGTGGTAAACTTGGACATTCTTGCACCAAGGGCGCTTTCCTTTTTATTCTTCTCATTCTCCTTATGGGTTGAGTCAATCTTGGACGGAGTCGGAACAATGGACGTGTTTGGTTTGGTTTTACCAGAGTCTTGGGTCACTGAGTATTTGGAAACAGGTTTAATACTGATGTCATTGTTATTCTTCTCTTTTGGTAGATGCAGCGAGATGCTGGAAGACTTGGACGGTGTGATGATTTCAGGTTTTTTTGGTACACCTGAAAACCAGGAGGTCGTTGACCTCAAGGGGGTGCTCTTGTTTTCCTTGTTCTCAGTCTCACTTTGCTTGAGCAATGATGTTTCGTTTTTCTTCTCGTGAACATCTGCTTTTTGATACCTATCATATGCTTTGTTGGAGTCCAGATTCTTGGAGGTTTCAGGCTTTTCTTTGATTGAGAGAGATTCTGTTTTATTGCTGGAGGAATCCACTTTCTCGAACTGATCATCAAGCTTGGATGTTGTTTTGACTCCAAAGTCCAAATTTGGCTTCTTTGGTTCTTCATCAGTTGGTGATATTCTCAGTTCTGGTTTACAGAAAGACACATCTGTGAAGGAAAGCAGGCAGAATATATGATCAAATATACTTTCTTAACCCCATCCTCCAAAACCTTGGGGCAGATTGAAACCTTGAACGCAGAACAGAAGTTCTTTTCCATAATTACATACTTGTACAGTATATATAATTTTACATTGCCCTGATTACAGAAGAAACTGTTTCCTCGATAGAGGGAGCTGTTGCAAAACTATTCATCCGGCCAAGTGGCATTTACAGGCATCCGTAGTTATATGTGATGACAGGTTGCATTTAGTAATGACACCACATACCAATGATACCCAGCTGTCTGTCAGATTGAAATAACACGTACAGGCAATCTTTGAGCCATGATGTCATGTCATGAATATTCATATCCTAGGGAGATGAATGAAAAGTCCATCCTTCTAACATAGTTTCCAAATAGAGGGCTCCCTTCAAGTTATTTGGGAAATTTAAAAAGAAACAAATACTCCACTGACATCATAAACATAATGAAAATATTTTACGTGAGAACCACCAAGTTGGAAGGCAATGTACTTGAAATATGATGGTTGGGCTAACATCATGCAGTTTCTTAATGATAAGAAAACATCCCAACGGGATAAAACAGGTAAAAGTTTTGAACATTGAGTACCGGTACATTTGTTTAAATCAACAGAGGGCGCTATTTAAATTCAATGCCGGAAAGTGAGAGTCTTAACTATTTGAAACTATTTTGTCAACAGAGGGAGCTATTTGAGTCATGCCACAGAAACAGAATACACCCAGACCAACTCTGACGTCACTCGGGACACTGAGACATGCAAAAATGTGCACCGTCACCAATAGATTAATCCTTAAGGAATACATTTGGATTCCCGAGCCAAAACATACAATGCTTGCTGATATGCATGTACTTTAAGATGATTTTCAACAAGAAGCCAAAAATATCTGAAGCCACTTTTAATAGTTTTGGCACGATCTTCCCTTCAAGGTGTCACAGGATTAGGAGCAGTATAAATCTCCTTGTAAATGTTGATTCACACTTTATACAAATGTCAAGCAAATTTGCAAACACTCAGTGCGACAACTTGCAGATGACACACAAATTTGCGTTTCACACTGAATATTCATGAACCGGCCGTATAGCAGCATGATTGTGTTTACTGACATTGTTTTGAGTATTAATGTTGTATGGCACAATGTTCACAACATTCTGCAATTCTGTTTCAATGGAATTCCTTCAAAGCTCCCAATTCTCAGAAATTCATGCAAAACTAAATTTGAACAAAAATAATTCCCAACATGTACAAAGCGGGATACGTTTGAAGCAAACATACACTACACATACAATACAATACTTTACATTACAATACATGTACATCAATTTGCAATCAAAGGAGCACATCGATATACAAAAATACGGCAAGAACTAACATACTTTTACAAATACTGTACAACTAATCAACTACAATTTCAACAACTTTTATACAGGATGCAAACAAAACAACATTAAAGACATTCTTTTCTTGGACTAAGGGGCGACTATCATGCAGGGATTTCATCATCTTTTCCCACTTGATATGAGGGTTTTGCTATTGAGATTTTGGCAGTAAGTACCCACATATATAACATTACGACAACCAACACTAAAAGTACAACTAAAAAGTGACTGAAAACTCCATGTAGTAAAAGGTGAACTTCAATGTCCTTTTATTGGGACTTAAAAAAATGAAAAATGAAAAGCACACAGCAAAAATATCAACTTGTCCAAACTATCCATCATTAATAACTTACAAGTGTATATTATGTTAGGCAAATTTCAAAGGCACACAATAACAATTTTTGTCCTGTACATTTTCATAAAAACAAATTGAATTTATTTCTACTATTGCATCTCCTTTCCAGGAGCAAAGCAGTTTACAAATAATAAATACGGCTCTAATCTTCTTGCGTATGAGGTATTTTAAGCTACATCAACAAAACCTTTTCATGGCAAGATCTGTTTGATTGGCCTATATTCTACTCTGAATACAACACTGAATATTGCATTTTCATTTAGTTTCATTGCCTGAAATAAATACCGTTTACAGACAACTTGAACAGATTAAATTTACAAATGCCCTAAAACCTCACCCCTTCCAACCCCATCAATAGACAAGCCCTGATCAGCAGATCATATAGTGTACCCACAATCCCTAGCAGCCATAACAAATACTAACTGCATGTAGTTGTTGACCTGTTCACAAAAGAAAACATCAAACCTTTTATGCATCTATATGTACAAAGAAAAAAATCAATCACTTTGTACTTTTCATGCAGCTAAAAAGCTAGAAATAGCCATAATTAACATGATAATTTTGTCACTTGAGTTTTGCTCAATCTTATAATACATGTACTTCAATAATAATACAAATCTAGGACTCCAAAAAAATTAAAAATAAATAGGGCTTTGAGTCCAGCCTGAAAAACTCAGTGCATTTCAGAATAACTCAATTTCTTTTTATATTTGAGAGAAATACTTCAAAATCGAAGGACAAACATTGGGTAGCACCATGAAAAATATCTCTTAAGCAGCAGAAATTTGTTTACGAAAACAAGAAAAGGTTACAGCTCTCTGTTTCATTCAAAAATCTCTGCTCTTTTTGTTCGTCCAGGAGATGTCATCAAAATTTACAGTACAAAGTATTGATCAGCTGGATTCCAAATATTATAGAATTGCATAGCACTTCTCAAATCAACAGATTCACTTTGTATCAACAATATTTAGTCTTTGTGTGATTAACAAGTATCAGGCTCAGATCGATTTGATTTATTATTGGCTTTAAACTGAGCTTAATGATGGAAAACAATTATGTACATAGAGCTGCAGTAGCAAGATATTATGTAATGGAGCAAGTACATGCAGCTGGGGAAATAAATGGGTACACTTTATTTTCAAGTTAACTATCTGTACCTTCACTAGTTTGCCAATGCTAGCATGGGGAGTTACAATGTATGTCCTAGAAAAATTATGCATCTGGATCACGGAAAATCAATCTTCAAAATACAAAAATTGTTTGAAGTTCTTGAGTTTAACAAGTATTTTGTAAACATATGCGTAGCTTTTACTTGACTTGATCGCTTATGTTTTCATCTGATTAACATGGTGATGAGTTATGACTGCAGTTTAAAACATCCAATTTAATTTCAGTAAAAACGTTAACAGGCAACTTGCAGCGGGTTGTAAGTCTTCAAAGTAGATTCGCCGTTACTGTCCATGTAGTCTAGACTGGGAGAAAATTCATCCTAATTATCCAACACATAAGATTCTTCAGGAAAACCACTTTACGTCGACACTTTCCAGCATCGGTGGGAACTATCCCTACCCCTTCCCCCACCCCCCCCCCCACCCCCCCCCCCCCCCCCCCCCAAAAAAACCCACCAAGACTGCAAAAGATACACTCCTGCCACTAAATATATGGGACTTGATTTTACTTTACAGACTGTGCAACTACATAGTTTCTGCAAAGTAAATTTTTGGGGAAGGATTCAAAAGATTTCCTACAGTAGCAAGAATGGCCTGGGCTGTTAACGTTAATCTATAAGCAAGTAGTACTTTACTTGATATAAGTCAAGCTTTACAAAAACTCTTGCTTTCAACATTCAAAATACTCAAGATCTCTGTACAGTTGTTAAGAATAGATAGACCATGAGATAGAATACTCATTTCCTTAAGGGCCTGTCACATTATATGCGCTCTCATAGGAGACCTTACGGCGACCAATTTTTATTTTTATAAATTGAACAATCGCAGCAAGGACGCAAGAAAATGACAACTTTCTGTCTCAAAGAAGCTCAAGCTACGCTCATACTGTGCTCTTCCCGCGCTTACGATGCGTTCAACTCGCTCTCTATGCGCCCCTGTCAAGCCCAATTACTCGATCTAGTCGCTGCCGCTCCGCTGTCACTGCGCCCACACTACACTCTGCTCGCTGTTGATACATCCTAGTAGCTCGCGTCGCGCTCTCTATTCGACCAATATACGCTCATGTGACGTCACTTGCGCTGTATAAATACCACGACAAAACGGTCAATACACAGTCCAGTTTCAAAAAATATTATACAAGTTCATCGCAGTCAAGTTACTTTCTCATAGAGACTACATCGACTGCCTTGCGCCTATAAGCTGCCTCAATGCCACTTCAATGTCGCACGATTCACGCTCGCACAGCGTCCGAGTTGCGTCATTACGGCGCCCTGGCCAGAGCGCAGAGGTGTTGTGATTGTTTTTGAGCATGTTCAAAGACCTTTGCGCTCATCGGAGACCATTAAGACTCTCTGGCGCCCATCTGGCTACCTATGTAGTTGTCGTTGCGATCTAGTAGTTGTTGTTGCGCCCCAGCTATTTTTCAAGGACGCAGTGAGAGCGCATATAAGATCGCAGACAGTGTGACAGGGCCTTTACAATAGGTCTATCTTAGCTATGTCTAGCACTCATTCTTTCAATCATTTTCCCACGTTCATTTATGAAGAGATAACTGCATCATTCTGATTTCTCTCTCTTCAGAATGGTTCATGTTACAGCTAGTCGTACCACATCTTACAAGTCATGACCAAACATTCCATTGGGATCTGTTCTACTATACTTAGGGAAACTAAGGATTTGGGAACTAAAGGATGAAAACAAAATCGTCACATGTGGCTCTTTCTAGACCCTTCCACATTGATGTGGACAACTGCACAACATGCGTACAATGATTGGGATTGCCACATAGTGTCATGCAAAATACAGGAAGTCATGAATCCCAGGCAAGAAGAACCAGGAAAACTTGGACCGTTTTGGCAAATTATATGCGTTTAATTGATTTCTGATTTCACAGATCTTCAAAGATTTCCTGATGCTTACAAACTGCTTGCACATTTTTTACTTAAGGTTTTAAAGTTTTATTTCCAGGTTTTACTAATTTGCGACAAATCAGTGACTTTCCAGGTTTTTTCATAACCGTTCTAGAATTTTCACAAGTTTGTCCAGGATAACGAGAACATTTTCCAGGATGCTAACATATCTTTCATGGCATTCCATCAGCTTCTCAATGAATGCCAAGACTCTTTCCAGGATATTCCTGACTCTTGCTAGGATTGCCATGACTTCTCTGGATATTCCATGATGTTTCCCTGGGCTATCCATGACTATAAATAAGGCAAACCCTGTTTTCTAACACCAAGAAGATTATCGTTAGGTGTGCAAGGGACTAACCGGTGCGAGTAGAATCTGAGGATTTCTCGTCCTTTTTACCACCACCTGGGAAAAATAACGGAAGGAAAAGACAGGAAGAAAAGATATCAGAGTAGATGCAGAAGGAAAGAGAGAAAAGGATACCGAGTGATAAGGTTGGTTCGTACTCCACACCAACACAAATGCAGAGAGACATGAATACAACTGCAATGTGTGCCAGGTTTGTGAATTTGCTGTATGAATACTTCCTCAATGTGTGATTTTTTTAGTTCCTGTTTGCATAAATGTCGAGTATTAACCAGACTATAAGATGATACATTCAAAGAGCATAGAAAAGTCTCTGGACAGCCAAAGTACATCAGACATATACCAAAACCACAAAGTTTGCATCTAATACAAAACACATCTTTATTTGGGTAAATCCATGCATGCAAATTGTTCTAATGGAAACATAAAATTCTAGATGACATGGATAGCATCATCTGGGATGCACTTGATATAGAAAGGGACGGGCTAAGCACTGCCAGTATAGTAAAGTATCAACTGTTAATAGCCAAATTTAGCTTGATGCACCAACATAGATGACTCATGGAATCTGTATACGAATGGTATTGTCATCATGAATGTTTGCACTAGACTGTGTGAGCATGGAGCAACGTATGCACAACTTACATGTAGTTTCATCTGATTAGTTTCATCTGATTGTGCATAAGAAGCATGTAGCATCTTTGTGTGGCAGCAATGGCGTTCAAGTGCCTGGCATATTCTTTATGTCACTGTTAGGAAGGTACTTGTGCATGGAATCCATAAGGCTGATGGGTGTTTCATAATTGCACCACTCACACCCTAGTTTTAACACATCTTATCTGCGCCTCATATCTGATGCGCTGCACCTAGCTAGCAGAGACATGGCAAATCTACCGGGGGTACTGTGATATTCCAGGTGCCACTTTTCCATCCACTATTCTTGCCACTCAACAAAGACCAGACCTAGTGCTTGTTAACCTAATCAAAGAAGTCACAGTAATCTTGGAGCTCACAATGACTTTTAAAGAAAATACTAACAAAGCCCAAACTAGAAAAATGGACAAATATTCATGCCTTGAGGACTTGCAGGATGAATGTTACACTATTAATCTGGTATGTCTAGAAGTTGGCAGTAGATGACTCCTTACACAGGATGACCTCACAAGGCTATGCAATCTCTATTCCCCCTCGTGACAGACAGAAACAAGACCATGAACAGGGAGGCCAAGAAACTTGCCAAATCTATTACTTTATTAGCCTGTGTGCAGTTACTGCATCCTACAGCATATTTTACTCTAAATACGACCCAGATTGGACCATTGATTAAATTTATTTCTTTTGGCGTCTCGTCCCCTTTTTAAACATTTTTTTTTTTTCATTTTTACTGCTCACCTACTTCAGTTTTTTTTTCTCTCTTGCTTGCCATTTTGGGATTTTTTTACAACCCCCTTTAACATGATTGTACTGGCGTGATGTGTCCCTTTTCTTTATGTAATTATCCTTTTTTGTGTGTGTGGTTTTTTTTTTGTAGTGTATTTGATTCTGTGGAGTTACGGGAGGTAGTGTTCTCCTGTCTGGAGTTATTTTTAGTGGCTTTTCAGTGGAATTAGCTATTTTTAATGTTTAATATTTGTATATACTGAAATGAATAAAAAACATGTGATGGTACTCTAAATAAAAAATGCAAATGTCGTAGAGAAAATTTCATGAGGAAACCCTGTCCAACACCTAGCTGAGAGTCCACAGGGCCCTTCCCTCCATAAAACTGTAGGCCTATGAACATTTATCCAGACCTATGCACCACTGATGAATATTCAGTAGGGTCTCATGAATATTTACCTGCTAGTCTCTGCCTCAGGTCTTTCAGTGCACCACGTATCAATCGCTTCTCTCCAATATCAACTGCATTCTCCAACTGCCAAAAAAGAAGAAACAATCAGCTTTCCTCATAGCCAGTGGTTAACGTGGGAATCCCCCTTCCCTCAGAAGACAATTTGCCAAATGTTGTATAATCATTTAAAGGTAGAGTAGATCATATGTCGTTTGTGCATTTTTTTCATTTGAAGGAACAAAAGTGCTCAAAATCTAAAGATGGGTGCTTAACTAACCTGATGAAAGTTTAGCTCAGTGAATGTTGTGTATTCTGAGAAAACAATATTCTAGGATCTCGATTTCAATTCAAAAGTAGCAGAGTCATATTTTGAATGGCACCCGAAATCACCATACATGTACGTGACACGTTCCCATTCAGCATATTGCAGCCACGTGATGTCATACACTGAACCGACGAATAATGGCAACTACCAACTACTAATGAAAATTTCCAAAAATGCGTCACTTGATGCATCTTTGGAAATGGCCTTCTTTTACAGTTTTCATCAAAATGACAGCAAGGCAGAAGGAACAATTTCACAGGTAGTTTATTGTCCTTACTATCTTACTATAAAACAATAATTTTGTCAGTTACTTTTTGGATAGCTGCATCTTTAATTTATGTGATGACTCCTTGCTCACCATTTTCTCCAGTTCCTCAGGATCCTCAATCTCATCATAAGCCACATTCTCCTCCACATCCGGTGTGAGCGTCAACTCCTCTAATGCCGCCCTATCAATCAAACTGCTCCGCCTACGATCCTTCTCAGTCAGCCAGATATCCGCATCCAAACCCTCCGACAGACGCCGTGCCCCTGGATAGTCCGGTACTTCCAGGTCCTCGTGATCCCGCAACTCTTTGATGTGGGCACGTATCATGGTACGCTCACCAAAATCTTGTGTCGTTGCCAACTGTCAACAACAAGACGAATCATTGAAGTTGGGTAATAATTGCAAGGGAAGCAAATAGGATTACGTTCCATGAAACAAATCTGAAGGTCTTCCTTTTTTTGGCTTATTCATTTGCTACATGCATAAAAAAATCCTCAATTCTTCTATTGGACATATAACAGTATGACAATTCTGATGAATAAGCACATTATGAGGGGAAAAAGTTGCCAGTTTCTCGTGGTTTCCATTGTGCAAGATTATTTTAAGAGCCTTTCATCAAAAATAGATCTGGCTGCTTCCTACTTATTTTGGTGGGGTCACAAGTACACACAAAAGCAGTTCCAGATTTCAAAATGAACTGATTTTAATTAAAGATGTTGATTTGGAATGGACGGGTCATACCATTTTCTCGAGGGTAGCGATATCATCAATTGCTGTGAAATCTACAACACTGCTGCCCTCATCTGCTGTTGAGACTGACACTGCTGGGATTTGATCCTGTATCAAGAGGGCAACCAGACACAATGTAGGATTGACTCACAATGGAAACTATAAATCAATTATTGGCTTTCTATTTACTGTAGTTTCCTAATTTCATTGCTGGTCCCAGAGGGCCAGCCAAGTGTCCTCTTTTTACCTGTCTTACTGAGGAGCTACATCTATTAGTATCTGCCTGATTTTCACATGAGTTGGGCAATGTTATCACATAGGATTACCTGTAACACCAATGAATGGGATGAATCCAGCCCATTGTGTAGACCATGCACAAAAAAGTTCCAGTGAATAGCCATTCTGAATCACTTGAATAGAATTTTATGCACTCTGGGACCAGCATTACTAGGCTTACATTGTTGTGTTTTAACCACAGTTATGTTCATGCTTTCGAGAGCTTGTGAGTAAAACTTGACAGGCATGGGTGGGGCTTGTACAGAGGTCTTGACCACTCAGGCTAGCCACAGTCATGTAATGTATATCTTGATGATAATGGCTTTTTGCTTGCTACATGGTTGCTGTGTTCAAGTCTTGATTTCCCTGCAGTTTTTACTTTATAAACCCTTCCTGAATCTATCAGAATGCAATGTTCGCATCGACTCTAAATGGCTCAAAACTTTTTCTCACACATTTTTGACACTTTCTTTAAAACTCAATGGAGTACCGAAGTGAATACGTCACAGGCACAAAATGTGTGTGAAAGATATGAGCGCGTGATTCAGGCCGTGAACCAACACGCGAGCGTACTCAATTTGTTTGCACTTCATTTTCTGGTTCTAAATGACGTCACACTTCGGTGCTCCATAAAAAAAGCTGCGAATAGACTTTTTTCAGGCTCCAATTTTCCTCTTTTTTTCATGAAAATGACAGGTCCTGTACAATTCGCACATAGCCTCCTAATTTCAGCGCTGAAAAAAGTTGCTGATGAAAAAGTGAAAATAGAAAATCTTGATTGTTTCTGTGACAGCAGTGTTACACAAACTACCACGGAAACTTCAGTTCGGCCACTGGTTTTGGGCTTTATATTTATAAGATCCTTCTTCAAAATACAATAAGACGTGACCTACCTAGAATGTTGATAGATGTTTCGGGGAATTTGAGCTATCTATCCATTTATAAGATTGTCAATCACCTGTAACTTTGCGAGAGTCACTTGTTCACCGCACACACTATTTACACTGCCATGTTTGTTTGCGCTATATGCCTCACTTTAATTTCCAAGATGGCGTACCCTGATAAAGGTCTATTATGTTTGGAAGTAACAAATTTAGAGGGAAATCACTTCCTCATTGATGTACCTCATCTGCATCAAAATGCTTCTTCTTCCTGTAATCCTTTTCCTCCTTATCAATGACTTCTTCTGCAGCATCTGAGAAAAAGAAACAAAAACACTGAGAAATCTCTTGATTGCCAGTCTAGTCTAAGGCTCAACTGTTTGGGGCAAAATCTTGAAACCCACAAGTCATCAAACAAACATACAAACAGGTTACATCATTACATGTAAGACAAATACACAACAAATAAACACACAGACTTACTATCAAAGGATAGCGATACTATATAAACCTTTTTCCTTTACAAGTTCTAATAAATCTGACATTTATAGGTCGTGACATCCTAACAGCTTATACTGCAAACACTAAGGTCTCCCATCTGCAATGGATCGTTCCATGCCTGATGAAATCATGGCATCAAACGACCATAAACCTAAGGGAGTGACTGTGTTTATGATGGATAAATATCACAAGATTGTGTTTACACCAGATATAAACAAGACTGATGGTGTTCTGAATAGAAATCAGCTACTGCTGCCTGGCTATCTGGAGCTACTGATACAGAGAACGACAGAGGGGCTTCTCTCTCTCCAAAAATACAATTCACAAAGAAATGACATTATTATGTACATGTATCTCCTATCAAGGCAAAACTGCTGATGTGAGGTTATTTCCTTTTTATTCTATGCAAAGAAAAATGCCAGCAAAAAATCAGTTAAAAAAAGAGGGGAAAATAAGCAAACACGCAGCAAAGGTGGATACAAGCAAAAGAGCAAGCATCCATGAAAGATTTAACCAAACAGGCATGCTTCTAGACTGAAATGACATATTAGAAAGAGGGCTAAATTACCAATACTCCAGAACCCAAAAGGTGTGTGTTACTTCTAGCAAAACAAAAACAATTCACACACACATACTTATGTCATTTGTTTTTATTTTAGTGAAAGAACACTGAACTTTTTTGTGATCCGTGGACAGAACCTTAAAACGGCGGTTGTGCTTAACACTCCGTAACTTGAAAAGTACATGAGTGATATAAATGATTCTTGTACTAAAAAAAAGCTTATAAATTGGGCTTTCCTATCCTAGATTTTGAAAGTGCTACATGCAAAACTTCACTAAAACAATGGTTCCAACATTTGGGTTTCGAGTTTTTATTACTCACCCTGTATACTGCAGTGTCTTTTTTTTTTTTTAATGTATGGAAAAGTTTGCCTAAGTAACTGGAAAGTGTACTTATAATGTGGTATTCTATAAACGGCAAACAGGTCACACAGCACCTTCTTTTGTCCACACACAGAGTCCATTTATACCCCCCCCCCCATTTCTTGCCCCTTTGGCAGAACCACGCCCCTATACAAGAACCATATCTAGCATCAATAACCTGTACTGCTCATCTTTAGTTGTCTCTGACAGTAATGTGTCCCACGACAGACTCAATCGCTTGGCAATCATGCACATACTGTGACTGCATCCAAGCAACTCCCTCAAGATGTGCCAAGTATGCTATCAGGAATACTTGGCGAGGGACATGGATATGCAACACGATACAGCAAGGCACCCGGCGGGCCGGTAGCTTGTCTACCATTCAACTTGCCATATTCAGAAGGCCTGATGATAACAACATAGAGCAAGTCTAGAAACTTCATTCTAAGATTTATCATTCATACAGAACTATTTCGCACTTCGTCCAGTAAATTTTTTTCTCCAAGTCCCATGAGTAAAACTGACAACAATCTATCTGTCTTGTGTGACCTGAAGGATACTGGTTAACTCAAAACTTTGTCCATTGATAAACGCATTATTTTGTAATGTACATTTTGTAGCGTTGATTTTATCAAAACTTTTCCCATGGACTTGTTCCTCAGCTTCTCTATTATCTATTTCCTATTTCCCGCACATAGAGTACTTGAAAGGAACAGGAAGTGAATGACTATAAAAACACGGCAGTAAATGTAAAAAATCCCCACAAAAGCAGAATAAGAAAAACAATATCTATATCAACATAGAGCAAGGTTCCTTGTTCTATGGTATCAACACGCAATTAACCTGAAATCACCCCTGATTGACTTATCCCCTTCATTTTTAAAGTGCGGAATTTAAGAGAATTTTCACAGTACGTTTCTTACAGTAAATACTGATGTGTGGAATGGAAACAAAATTTTCTTCAGATGAGATTAAAAACATCCTCCCCCTCCCTTGCAGGTAGAAAGCAACCGCCCAGCCAGATGCCAACTGCACCATACCATTACTGTTAATGGCAAGAATGCACTCACCCTACGCCAAAGCATCAACCCAAACCAATCTCTATATATAGTCTTCAAATAAATATGATCCTAAGAAAATACTATCTGGCATTTTGCCAAGCACGCAGGCCTCTCAGAAATGTTAAAGAGGAAAAAGAAGAAGACTGCCTGGTCTGTGTATACCAGATGGTTAGGGAAATACATCAAGTGATTCTCAATGTACAATGTATAGGAATAGAATGTTAGCAAAATGATGTCAGCAAAGAGTTGGATCAGTGTTAGCATTTCCGATTTCTAAAGATAAATTTGCATTTATTTCCTTAGACTGACAAAATAGAAGGAAAGTTCAACAATAATACCAAACAATTAATTATCACAGAAACCGAAAGACCAATTTGACAAGTTTTGGTAAGCACATCTTTGAAATAATTTAAATTGGCATGGCTAAGTTTGGCTTTTCTGTTTGGTTTTAAACATTTCAGAGCAGTAATGAACTTACACAAAAACGAAAACAAATTTCAACAATTTTTACAATTCCAGCAACTGGACATTTAGTTCCACTGAGTTGTTTGCTATTATCCTGAAATCGTCGCGACAGTGCAAAAAGGTCGTAACTGGATTCTGCAACAAAGTCGTATCTTGCGTGAATATGCTCAGTGCAACAAGGTCGTATCTTGCGTATTGCGGCGTCCATTGACTTTGTGTGTACATCCAGGTAATCTTAAGCGAGATATACGACCTCTTGACATTGGAAACTCGCATTTCATGTACATGACGTCACACGCCATTTTAGGAGATACAAACTGGTTGCATGGACACAACAAAATGTTCTTTTCAATTTAAAGTTGGCACAAAGTATGAACTACATGTACCGGTAGTGGTGGGTTTTAAATCCGGACTTTTTAAAATTGGGTTTGAATTCCACTATTCAGTTTCGATGTTGAAAACCAGATATTCGAAACCAACCCCCCAAAAATTAAGCCTTCAATTTTTTGTGATACAGCCTAGAGAAAACAACTGGAACATCCCCCAATTTGCTCCATGGTCTCTGATTGTAACTGCTTTGACTTGCTAGTGGTCTTCTCGGTGTATGAACTAATGCTAATGGTCTTCTTGCTGCCCATTTGACTTTTTCCCATCATAGTTTTTTGTCAACATTACAGCTCTGGAGTGTTTTTGTAAAGGCCCAGTGGTCACTGCAAACTATACCTAGTCATTGGGAGGGTACTGCATGTGGCACCTCACTCGTCACTTTTTGTTGGCGTGACTGTGAGCTGAATGGGAACTTACAGTGAAATCGGATAACCGTTATTCGGTTTGAAAAAAAATAAGACAACCATATTTTGAAATCTCTGATCCTTTCCACCACTAGTATGAACGGACCTTATATTATAACTAAAGAGTTTAAAAGGAATGTGTTAGCCTATACAATGTCAAGGATGTGTACTTCTTATGGTCTGTAGAAATTCACACATCATGTTATGCCAATGGACCAAACAACGCTACTTGCTAATTCCCTGTGAGATTTGCACACCAGCTGAGCTACGGGATACCAGATTATCCAAGCTACAGACTTATTAGTATCTTGCTCCGTGGGAGGGGAGCAATGTGACAACTAATGGAGCTACCCTGGCTAGATTTAATGGCCAAATGAATAAATGTGGTCTCTATGGGACTGAGTAGTCTGCACAAAACAAAGCAGTGCAGTCCAGGGAGAAATGTTTAGCATTAGTGCTCGCATTTAAATTCACATTATGCTGCTAAAAGCAAGTTAAACAATGGTTAAATCAAGGAGCACTGCATAATTACTGGTTTATTCACGATGTGTCTTGCATATGTTACAAGAAAGTGTTAATGTCCCGAGATGAACAACTTGACTCGGACTTGTTTACAGTCTTAACTGATCACTTAGTCAACTAGTTTTGTCCAATCATCATTGACTATTGTGCATGTGGTGTAAATTTGTCACACTATGAATAACTTCAGTCCATGGTTTATGCTTGTGGCAGATGGACCCTCTCTCTTTGTGTGCATGCACACTGCACAACATTCAAAGTTTCAAACTATTCATGTCTGATTCTGTTGTCGACTGGCCAAATATGTGTGTTATCTTTTTTGTTCATATACTAAGATCATCTATCATTATTATCCATTTTTTGTTTGTTTCAGGTATAATGAACTCAATTGTATGTTTGTGATAATTTAATACTCTTTTGGTACACCCAAGCAACATGAAATATAAGAACAAGTTTAGACAGAACTTGGCTCTTACTTTTTAATCCACAAAAAATGCCAACGTGTGGACTGATTTACCTCTGGCTTTTTGTCGCATATCTTTGATGGCCGCACGGATCTGCTTCTTATGTTCATAATCTTCTGTTTCCTCCAACTGTGATTTTAGAAAGAAAGAAAGAATATACCATCTCTTCACAATGTCATCTATGGAGAATGAGTATCAAATACCTACACAGTATGCTCAAAACTAGGAGTCGAGATATGGACATGTTATGGGCCTGCTGAATGGCTGAAATGGAAGCATTCAAACTACACTGTACAGTCGACTCTCATTAGTACAAACTCTGTTAATACAAAATTCTGGTTATAACAAACATAAAGCCTTGGTCCCGACTGTGCATTTATGTGCACAATGAATGGGACTGATAATCCTCTTAATACAAAATTCTGATATCAATTTGGCTAGGTCCGAACGAGTTTGTATTAACGAGACTCGACTGTACATGTATGTGGCTAGAACTTTAACACATCAACATCTGATAGCCCCATTTGAGGGAAAAACTAACAAAACTTTACAAAATAAGTTAACTTTTATGCACTATTAATAATTATCATTTATAAGTTTTTAATCTGACTGGGAATACAAGTAACGGGCGAGTTCTTCTCAACTAAGATACATAAATGTAACTCAAACCTTTGCAGATACTTCAATTTCCACCTGGTGGTTTTGGAAAATTTTGTAGGATTAAGGAAGGTATAGGCAAGCCAGTATTACTTTATATGAGGACTGATGCCCCTTGAAACTTGGTAGGTACAACGAGTGTGCCATTGGTTTCCTACACAGTGGAGGATTTTGTAGGATTGAGGAAGGTATAGGCAAGCCAGTAGTACTTTATATGAGGATTGATGCCCCTTGAAACTTGGTAGGTACAACGAGTGTGCCATTGGTTTCCTACACAGTGGAGGATTTTGTAGGATTGAGGAAGGTATAGACGAGCCAATGTTATTTATAGAGGCTTGATTTTCCTTATAAATACAAACTTGTACGTTCAAGTACGTACAAAGATGTGCCATGGGTTTTGCCACGGGAGATTTGAAAACTACCAACCATTTGCCTGAGGACGCTTTCATCCTCAATTCCTTCCAGATTTAGTTCTTCTTTCTTTGGTTCTGCCATTCGGTTCTTTCTTGCTGCTGCACTGGTTGCTTCCTGGTCAGCTGGACAAAAATAAGAGGGGAACAATTTTGCCTAGGTCATTCAAATCACATTGAAAATGTTACATTTACTCAGTGAGTATAAGAATCATCATCAACAGAACAACAATTTGTAAAGGGACTTGTTTTTTAAATTCTTGATGAACATACACAGCAGAGGAGCTACGCTAAGCATATGTTTTCAGGTTTTAGTTTCTGAAGATTGATGTCTTTTAATTTAAAAGAATTGTGGCAATGTATCAAATGCTGTTCCAATGAGATGGGTAAAGCATGCAAGAGGCAAGTTTATCAAACCAGTTTTTTTTATTTGTTTTGACAGATGTTTCAGGTATGTGGCAACATTTATGTTAACACTTGGTAGAACATTCAGTCTCACACAATTATGTCTCTTCTGTTTATTTTCAATGTCATCTGTTGAAAGGGATATTTCTTGCAAACCCACTAGCGATGACACTTCAAGGATTTTTCAACCACAAATTTGAGGTAATAAAAATGGTTTTCTTTTTTGACAAGCCAGCACAACCCATGTATACAGAAGCTACATGAACATAAAACTTGAAAGTAAATTTTCCTGACTTCCTCTGGGGACTTGACAAGGTTCCTGAGGCATCCCTTGGGCAAACAGTTTGGAGAAAGAAAACTCAAATGTATTTGTCTTGTCCCACAAGGCACATAAAAAGTAACACCTGATGTAATGCATCATTCAGAAATTTGTAAGAAAATGTTTGACATGAACACAGTACATGTTCATCACTGCCTGATAACTGCAGTTGTTTTGAAGTTTTTACTGGTTTTTGCAGTAGCGCATATGTTCACTACTGTGTGTTCTTTGCTGATGCATGTTGGTTAATATACATGTACATGCACATGAATATTTGTACGAGTGCAGGTAAATGTACTGTGTACAGAAAACTGTATGAAAGTACCAAGCGAGTTCAAGAACAGTTAATAATGTATGCATATGAAAACAAAAAGAATTAAATGTGCTGGAGTTTGAATGATAAGTATAACCAATTGACATATCCCCATTTGCGATCGAGTTGGTCACGCCCCTCAGACAACCCTATGGAATTCTGTACATTAAATTTTGTTTGTCTCACATTTTGAGCGTTCTGCGTCCATTTTATATATCATGTAATTGGACAATATTTTACAAGCTACATTGACGCGATTCTACCAAGATAGGCCAATAGGTTTTATGGAGCTTTTAAAAAACAGTTATTATTTATGATGCAAATAATAAATTTGAAATGATTTCGTTTTCGAAATGATTTCAATTAATGTACTCTTAGTTAAACGAAATGTCCTAATCAAGATTGAATAGTTTGGTTTGTTATTGTGAATGCTTTCTAAGAAAACTGATGTTTGCCTAATCAGTGAATCTAGGTACTTCTTGACAAATTATTATTCACAATGAACTTGAGCCTTGACTGTTTAACCTCGACTTGGGACCTTCACGTAATTAAGACGACACTCTCTTAGAATGACATCAATCATTGGTTAACCTCTTCCACCACTTTAAGTACACCTCACTATGTACCGCGTACAAGATCCAAGTGAATGTATAGATCTACGTAGATTACTGACCACCGCCTGAGTCAACAGCTCAATTTTAGATCAAATTCAAAATGCTGATTATGAGTCAAAGTCTCTGGTTTGTCACAGGACTGGATGGGCTATTTATAAATATTAATGTGTGACCAGTCATCGTCATTTGTGGCGGTCAACCAGTGAAGTCATGGGCACCAGTTTTTCAGCCTGAAGGTGTAAGGTTTTTTTTTTTTTTTTTTTAGAGTATAGTTAAACTCCTGTGTTGACAACTTAATTTTGCCAACAAGGTAAACACCATATCTTCACCAGACAAAGCGATGAATAGAATAATGTGTCGTTAACCTTTGTCACCTGGGAACTAATTTCTCTTTCCTTCACACCAACAACATGTCTACTGTGCAAGGTTCACTGACAAAACACTTGATAGTCTTATGTACTTTCTGCACAATACCTTGTACCTTGTACCTTGTAGTTCAAACTCCCGAACCGGTCCACCAGGGACTAAACTGGAAGTTGACGAGAGTGGATTAATGCCTAGCGGTGGCTGCGATGTTTTTGTTGGTTTTGGATGGAGCTTTTGAAGGTTACAGAGGAAGTTGTGTTGACAGCACCTTCGCAATAATGGTGATGTGCACTAGTTGTTTATTTACAAAGCCTACATTATGACATATGAAACATTCAGATAAACATCTCCATTGACTTGTAACTTCATCCTTCCCAAATGCAAACCAAAAAGCAGAAGATATTGAACAATACTGTACAGACATGTCTATTGCCCGCCAATGCCTAGGTACAGTTTCAGTAGCTGCAGACTGTTCAGACAAAGCTGTGATTAGTACAACTGTGCAACTTACCATCATTTGCATTTCTTGTGAGCCAAAAAGCCATCAGGCCTTTAAACTCTTTGCTGCCACGGCAACGACGTAAAGAATTTGCTCCTACCATGGCTCCTGTAACCACTAAACCACTGTACACTCAAACACATCCAACCTCTCAAGGATCAATTCAGGTCTCAAGAACAACAGCCACATCAACTCATTCAAGACCAACCAAATGCTCAAACATTAGTGTAAAGCTTTACTGGTGCCCAAACAGTTTGATGAGTTACATGGTCCATAAATAAAAGGAAATACCACTACTTCCTATGTTTCCTTAACAACCTGGAATCTTACACTCCGATGATTGTGTAACTTTGTGGAAGTAACATCCACCTTGGGTACTCATTACACTTAAAGGCGCACTCCTTTACCCCTAAATTCAACTTAAAACTAATTGAAATGTGAAGTGCTCTCAAATTGATTTATTACAGTCAGATTTACCCCTATTATGACTGGAAGGCAATTTATCATTCGTTAAAACATGCATCTAAGGTTGTGATATGTACATGTACATGTATGCTTAATGAATCAAAGATTTTGATTTGTGTTTTATACATGATGGTTCTTTGTGATAAAAGATAATGAGCGTTATTTCAGCCTAACACGTTGCATGTTGATTATAGAAGTGATTATTTTTGTAAGGAGTGAAGGCATTGTGTTTCTATGGCCCTGAGGAAGTGACAAGGGCGTTCTTAAACTATACTCCCACGGCAATGTAAATCCACATTTCATTGGGTGCAAATTTGTGGGCGAGTGCAGATTATACATGTAGGTGCGTCCTTTGGCAACAGGGTTCCAATTGCATTGTGTAAAAGTAGCGTATTCTGTAAATAAGCGTGGCTGCGGAGATCAATCTGGTGTCACAGGATGACAATGCAGATGTTGGTCACACAAATAACCCAGATCTGATATCATTGTGTGGGCACTCCATATTCAGCCGAACCCATATTTGTATTCAAGGTACCACACATATAATATGCCCCATCGTTTTAGTCAGTGTACATGTATGTCAGCCTAAATAATGTGCCCTGAAACAGGGGATATATATATGGAAATATTACAGTTTTGGCCAGTTAGTATAAAAAGAAGAATACTCCTATTTGTGTATATTAATTTTTTTTTTAAATACATGTAAGAAAGCATAACAAATTGTGCAGATGACTTGATTACAGAACCTCAGGTGTTTTGGGGTTGGATGGCCATTATAGATTCCTCAGAACAGTTGCACACTGATTGATGAATAGAATTTATTACAGTAAATCAACCTAAAGTGACATAAATTCAATTGTCAATTTGACTGTGTTTTTCCGTATACACACTTAACCACACTTAATCAGACCTCATGCCTTCATGTTGTTGTAATGATTGGAATGATGACCTTTAAACGACCTTCTACAAAGGACCCTGGGATTGATAGCTGCCATATCTCTATTCCTGTGCTATCATCATGCCCAGGGTCAGACATTAACACTTATAAGCTTGTCAACCTGTTATTAATTATTCTGGATCTTAATTTCCAAGATCTATGTGAACCATTAACATTTAATTGAGCATTTTTGGAGTGCCGCGATTTGGATACTTAATTGAAACCTGTCTTTTTTAAGGCAATCATATAATTAAATTCTTTCCTTTGAAACGCTGATAGCCAAAGACAGCTAACAAAATGTCAAACTTTTAGAATGGTGAACTTGAAGGTGCAAACCTATTTTCTTTTTCCTGAGATCTCTGATGGCTGCACGGATCTTCCTACGATCTTCAAAATCGTCTGTTGCATGAAGCTGCAAGAAAAGAAGAACAAAAAGGAAACAAAAACTATTTTACAATTCTTTTTTTCTTTTTTTTTTAACTTAAGGACATTATCTTGTTTTCAGAGCATTAGGTTACTATCAATAGTCTCCCTGGTGACATGTGCATGTGCATCACTGACTGATGTAATAATTCTGTGCTGCACCCAGAGTTCATGAACTCTAGATTGTTAAAACTTTGAACTTGCACTTTTGCAGGAAGAGCAAGATGCACATAAAAAAAAGAAGTATTAAGTATCAATTAGTGAAAATGGAATATCCAGGATTTTTGGAAAGGACCTTATTCAGCCATGGTGAGTAAAATCTACATGTAGGATGTTAAAATGGGCATCAATTAAGAAGGTGTCGATAAAGAGTAATGTTGCAAGCTTCCCTGTTTTGTGCTTTCTTGTGTAATGTTGTGTAAAGGTCTGAAACAAACGTACTGGGGTGGAGTCCCTAAATACCCTTTGATCCACCCATGACTTACACATTTATTTCTCATTGTGAACCAGGCCCAGCTTTCTATCACACCTGGTTAAACCCTAGCCACAAATCCCCCACAAAATCAGTTCCAGATTTCTTAGCAAACAACGTGCATTTCAGTGAGGAGGCCAGACAGTGTGGAGTTCAGTCACTTCTTGTTCTGAACCAGTTCATTTGAAGTAAGAATGTTGGGGTCGTTGACCTCATGGCCCAGATGGAGACATCTAGGCTAGCCTCAGTCATGTGACCTCTGGTTACCAAAGTCACTCCCTCTGTGCACTCTTCCCTCTTCAAAACTTCCATCTTTTTTTTCTAACAGTAACTTGAGCTCGGGCTTCAAGATGAAACAAAAACATTTCTATTTGCTTTCATGCAAAGGCCAGTGGGTTAAATTCTTACTGGAGCACAAAAATGAGGTCAATGGATTTAGAGGATTTTCAAGACAGTGTACATTTTTTTTTTGGGGGGGGGGGTTGTAGTAGTCTTATAATTATTGTCTGGTGGAGAGATTACCAGAGAGTTGGCCTTGGTCACATTACAATGATTAGAAATCCATGTACAGTGTGATGTGAGGACTGTAATGGCAACAAGCCAGTACATGCACTACATGCTGGTTTACATGTACAACATTTGCAAACATCAAAAACTACAGTATCAAATTAATATGAAATACCTTACTGGACTGTAAGTGAATAATAGTCTCAGGCATCCTGTGTAATCATGGCACCTAGTGTGCTGTCATTTTCAAGAAAGTGGAATTTTTGCATCAATTTCCAACAATGGTCAGCCAACCATCGTTGGGAAAAAAGACTTTTTTTAAATACTGCACCAATTTACCAAATTTAGCTAGTCCACATTTTGTTTGCAATCAGTTACAAATTTGTGAATGGGTGCAAGCCAGCTACTCTGGTTCCCTGCCCTGATAATTCCTCAACGTCTGTGTAATTTATGTATGTTTCGTCTGAACTGAAGTAGGGTCAGGGAACCAGTTTTTCCAACAACTATAAACACAAAACTTTAAACAGGTCAGTGTAACAATATTTACTATAAAATACTAAACCCCAAAATCCCAAATCCATCTATTTCTGAAAATTACAGCAAAAGTAATTTGTTTTTAAAGATTTTTTTTTTGGTATGCAAAAAGGATAATTACAACTGGCAATGTAACTCAGCAGTATTGCCTAGGGCAACTTTTGAAGGAAAACAAACCTATTCAAAATGGGATCACTGACTGTTTTCAATAGATCACACCCAAGTAAAACACACAAATGGTCCATTTGAAGTAGACTTTTCAATTGATAGATGTTGGGCTGAGTGCATCCTTGGGTAAATGTTCAAACTGTTTTAGCCTTTAACAGGGTCATTTGTGTTGTTACCAGGCTAGTCTTGAAATATCAGCATTTTCTCAACCCATACAAAGTACCTTGACAGGCCATAACCTTTGTGCAGCATATCTGTTCCCTTCATTTGTTTGTTTCGTTTGAAAACACCCGCAGAGCCTCTGACACAAATCTGTTTTGATGTTGAAGCACTGTGGATAATAAGATCTCCAAATCTTGGAAAAAAATCCCCTGGTTTATTAGACACAAATACCAGCCAAGGACCTCACACCACAACTATGGGAAGAGGGAATAATCAACCATAAAGATTGAATCACATCAAACGGCGCCGATCCATTCAATTTTTCCAAACCTTTTCACAATTGGTTCCCAATGGCGTGTAATTGGTGATCATTGACGAGTGAATGCTCCATGGATCACAGCGTGATCTCGTGAGCTTTGATTCAAAAGCAAAGCTTGAAGAAGACAGAATGACAATGTGTAATAGGGGATCTGGCCTGTGAAATTGTCCATGGATTTATTGAGGATGACACATTACCTGCTCAGGCTTTCTTCTATTAACAGTGATAATGTAACTTGCGATTCATTGATACTATTCTTAGGGCTATTCCGGCCAACTGAGTCAGTTCAAATAATTGAAGGCCAAACGAGAAAACTTCACACAAATGTAAGGACGCATTCAAGCAATTCATTTTTCCGAATTAAAACTTTTTTCTGAGGCCTACTTTCTTTCACAATTTCTGCTGAATCTAATTTATTTTCTGCATTACAATTGAAGATTATTAATAAATAAACTGAATAACGAGGGGTTAAAAGTAACAAGATGGGTCCTATTGACTGTATTTGTTGCCTTCCTTTGATTTCTTTCATTTTTAAAATTGTGCATGTGTAACGTGGAAAATGGATCACTAGAGAAAAAAACCTGGTTCCAATGATTATGTCGCGATTTAGCTTTTTAAACTGGGACAAAAAAAAGAAAAAGAAAAGGAATCAAGGAAACGAAAATAGACTTCTCAAATCCTATTTAATACATTATGAAAATACACAAGGGAAACTTGGCCCTGCCACACATGGATTGTGTATTTCCCTCATGTCTATCTATAAAGCAGAAATATCATTTCTGTTTAAAATCTTATTAATTACAGATCATTAAAATTAATTTTATAACTGTTCAAAAGCTTAAATCCCATTGAATACAGGTACAATATTTACTGACAGATTAAAGTCTCTTCAAATAATATCTGCATGGATTATTATTCAATAGACTGGTGCCTCCAGCAAAGCAAAAATCTCCATTCAAACCTGATTTTTTTTTTCTACAGCAGCTTTCTGTGCAAAGGTTAGGGCAGTCTATTTGTAGGTCACGACCCCAGCGATTGTGGCCCATCATCCCCCTAGGTGATCCAGGCCCATCTCAAGTAAACACGCTACCTTCATCACTTCATGACAGGCAAGTCCGGGATTATTATTTGATTTCAAAAAAGAAAAAAAATAGTCGGCTGGCCAGGTGTCAATATGAAGTAATGGCCATTCATGCGAGTTAATATATTGGCAGTGAATACAGAATAAAGGCTAGCTTCCCTCACAGACGGAATGTGGAACTGTTTCTTGCACTTTTTGAGGTTGACTTTTTTTACTTTGGTTTCTCAGCGGCGGTATCACAGACATTTCAGGAATTTTGCATTATGTATTTCTTGGTCAGAATTGATGTTCATATAGTATCTTGGTTTGAAGATCCCAAAGTATGAAGTGCAAGTTGATTTAAACAAATATAGTGTACCAAGTTGTGATTGCTAAAAGTGAGTTGGATTCCAAGGGAACCTAGGCACTATTATTCAAGGAAATATTGCTTTATTATACAAAGTCTACATGTACCTCTGTATGTTTAACCTTTTTTCAATATTTGTTTAACATTATGTCCTTGTTCACATCGGTACAACTAACAATTCTTATTATTTGAAGAAGTAGGGTACGTCCTTGTTTATATTTATGTTACAACCAATCTCTAATTCAATGCTTGTTAAAGAATCTACGAGAGTCTTTCATTTGTTGGTATTACTACTCAAAACAGTTCCACAAAAATGTCCTCATCTCATGTATACATGTACGTACTTTGGTGAAATTTATGGGCCTTATTTACAAATTGTAACATTTTGGATGAAGGGGGAAAAACGTTTTTCATCACCAGTACAGACTTGTTTGTGAAAGTTATTATTTACAATTTGTAACATTTTGGATAGGCCTAATGGGGAAAAATGTTTTTGATCACCAGTACAGACTTGTTTTGCAAAGCTGACAGACTTTCTTTTCGTAACAATGTACCGGTACTACATGTACATGTGTACTTATTATACATGAATACACATGTAGAAAGAATTGCAGTTAAGTGTTTACCTCAAAAACGTTGAAGTTGAAAATCAGTAGACCCACATTCAAAGCATCGTGGTATTTACTGGTAAACTTGCATTCGCTGAATGTTTTCTGTCCTGCACCTCTAGTATGGCATGTACATGTATTCATGGATGCAATGTCTGAAAATACATTTACAATTATGTAAACTGTGGTCTTGCAAAACATTTGTGCCCATTTGTTTGCTGTTTCAATGTTCTATGAGTAAGCTTTTTTTAATTGTAAGGTCTTTTTATATTCTTTCTATTTCTGAATTGGTCAGCCATGTTTTTGTGAATTATCTGTGTTGCTTTTTTTTCAAGTGTTTTAAACAGAATAACACAGGTCTAGCCTTATAGTTATACGAAACTTGGTACATGTATAATGTCTGATCTGTCGAAAAGTTGAGTTAATATGCGGTATAAGCGGCACTTAACAAGAGAACTGTTTATCAGCTGAGAGATCTGTTTCAATTTTCCTGCATCTGTTACATTCTTCATCTCTACATCTCAAGACATGACTCTCAACAGTTGTAATGTGATGTCAGGAATACCGATGTTTATGGCCATGGATAGCTTAGCTAATGCATGCCCTGCTGCAGAGTCCATGCTCCGAATTCTTGGCCATACATGTTTATGGATGCCGCCTGCAGCATTTTGCCTGGGCTGGGTATCATAAGCTGATGATGATGATGACGACAAATACTAATAACAAGCTCCTATTGGACGATTTATGGGGAATCTGATTGGCTCTGACACTATCTCCCAAGAGGAACAAACAGATTACAAAGAATGCCAGTCCTAAACATGGCCTGCTAATTACTGCCTGTGTATACTTAGCAGAACCTGCAGTTTATTTGTTGCACTAATTGCATTTTTTATGAGCTGGTACAATTAAATCACCTTTAAGTACACAGTTTGGCCAAATCAAATAAAACCTGTGTTTCCTACAAAAAGTAAACAAGATGGATCCTGAATTCTGTTTCATCTCTCTGCAAAGTTTTGCAGTAGAATCAGAATTGCAGGTACTATTCTATATAGTTTTTTCTGTTCATTCATGATTTTTTTTACTTCATTAAATAAAATGCTAAAGTTCAGACAACCTGAATGGAATACATGTACAATGTACATCCGTGTACATGTTTGCAGGAATATAACTGGAGAAAACTGTTGAGAACTGATCTTGGGGGTGGGGGGGGGGGGGGGAGGGCACGTACATGTATACAGGAACAAAACTTGTTCACAATTCACAAGGAAAGGCCCTTAACCCTAAAAGTTTTATTGAAGTATTACTCTTGTTACATGGTATGATTTTATTCAATGTGTTAAATACACAATACTTACAATGTATTACAATCAACATTTCAAGGCAGTAGTAAATAAGATTTCAAAAAGAAATCAAAGCTTGTTATGTTGTATTTATAAAAGACAAATATCACTTTTGTAAAACTTCCAAAATAATGTCCAGTATAAACGCTTTAGCTCCCTGCAGCAGGGGTGGGGTAAAATGGTTTGCATGATACTTGGCATGCATGGACGTAGAGGTTCTAAAGAAACTTGTATCAAGCAAACAAAAAATTACTTATTTCAGAAAATTAAGTTTGGGACTGGAACATATTGTCACAACATTTAAACTTAAATTTTGTTTTGTTATTTTCATAATTTTCAAGGACTTCAGCACGCAGATCTTCCATACCTTTAGGGATAGTAGTAATAATTCAATATGAGTCTTTGAACTATTTACTGGTGTACACATGACCTCAACTGCAAGTCAAATCATTCACTGCTCAATTACACACCCAAGTACATGGTCAAGTAAGTAAATTTATGCAAATCTTGCAAAAACGATGTAAAGACATGCGCATGTACAAATCCAATTAGGATGGCCGGTAACTGAATTAACATAACTTTGTCTAGCATATCACACACACTTTGGAGTTACGTGAATATGAGGCTAGGTCTGATAATACGTGTATGTCGTCGCACTTATGTCTTATTTTTGACATAAAGTAAAGTGCAGAACTAATAACAAACAAAACTGAACATGGAAACAAATAACAACAAAGAAGGTGAGGGAGTTATAAATTAATGGGAAAAAGAACTCTGTGCAAAATGACGGATCAAATTAAAATACTGACCCTTTCATCAAAAATACTTCAAAACAAAACAAAAACAAACAACATGCAAACAAACAAACAAACAGATAAAAAATGATAATTTGAGAAGAACTAACCAGTTTTGTCATTTCATCTTCATCTGTTATCTTGCTGATTTTTCTGTCTAATTCCGTGTCAGCCATTTTGTTTGAGATGTGATTATTAGAGTTGTTGTTGTGTCCAGCAAGCAGGCCAGGGATGCAACCAAACTGTAGTTCACGAAGCGCCGCTCGAATCTGACGTCTTTCTATAAAATCTGTGCTGACCTCCAACTGCAAACATTAAAAAAAATAATTGAGGAACATCTAAAGAGTAAATTCCAAGTTCTAAATACTTGTGTTCTCCAGTAAACTTAGCTATTTAGAAATATTGCTTTGAAACGACAACTGAAAATGCTCAGAATTTGTGAGTACAAGAAACAGCATATCTTACTGTTCACACCCAAAGTTTAATCAAAACTTGTGTTGTTTCAAACCAGCAAATGGTGAACTTCTACACACATGCAGAGAGTGTCCAAATTACTTACCACTACCCCAACAAATAAACTCCACAGCAAATAAACTTTTACACAGTTGCAATTACGACCCAGAAAAATGTTAATTCCAAAATCCTGTGCGGTGGTGACAGAGAATACTTCCAGCTAAGGAACTGGCTGTGAGATGAGTCCGTACTACATGTACTGTACATCCAACTACCAAGCGAGTATGCACACATAGACACACACACACTCCAGTGATGCAGCGCTATGACAGTTACCTATCTATCAACTATTGAGAAATATGTGTGGGAATTAAGGCAATGAATGTGGCTTTGGTAGCTAGCTGCGTCTGTGTGGTGTAAATTCTCTTCTATGCCAGTTAGCCAGCCAGAGAGCTAGGGCAAGAGAGAGCGAGGAATATGAAAACACTCCCCCCTTGATTCATCTGTCTTTGTCATCCACACTAAACAAACTGGAGCTGAAATCTGGCTTGCGCAGGGGATGAAGACGCAGTTAGTCTGAGACAGCGGTGAAATATGTGCAAAAGGTTGGAGGTTCGGAACCGGTATCTAGGCCTCAGGAAGATGATCAACCATATATAGGCAAGGAGACTGCATGCAGACAACCATCCATAAGCTATATCCATTTTTTTCACATCAATATTGGAAACTTTTTTTCCCCTATCATGAGCAACTGATGGAATTTATATCAGTGATAACTGTTGGTAGAAATGTTATGGTTCAACATGCAGGGAAAAAAATCCCAACAGAAAAGAAAAATGCAGTGATGATGAAAGTAAAAGCTGTTACAAACAGTTGAAATATTAATTGATTAATGAAGAAATTTTGGGCATAGAAATGAAAAAAAAATAAAAAAAATTTGAATTTCAATTTAAATTTTGAAGTTCAATCTGAAATTCAGTTAAGTTTTTTCAGTCATGATACATTGTACCTAATACTTTGTACACACAAAGACACAATGTAATAGCTTAAATTCTTCAAAATGATACAATGTAATTACTTTTGAAATTTTGATGATTACATTTTGTAATTGCTATTTCAGAGTATAAACCCAACAGTGTACAATGTGCATATTTAATCCAGACTATTCTACAAATGTCATCTTTGAGGACAACAGGACAGTTGTAACTGTCAATACTCATTGACAAATGGAAGGAAATTGAACTTGACTCCGGCCAGTCTTGAGACCCGGGGAATTGGAGCTGCAGGCCTGGGGGTGCCCAGCTGAAATCAGGGCGCCAGCAGCCATTTCAAACAAACATGAGGCATATTACAAAATACCCTGGATACAAATGTACAACTCAGTCTTGCTTTAAAGCAGGTATCCATATCCATGCTGAAAAATTCCATTTCACTTTTTCTCCCTGACAAGGACTTTTAAAAGAAATTTTGGACTGAAAAAACTAACTATACATTTGATACACATTTCCCATCCAAAACTATGAGTTTATGCTTACTTGCAAAATTGAAATTAAGAGTGATAAATTATTAATTCATTTAATCTATTGCTTAAATTATCCTGGGCTTTTTTATATTATTTTGTACTTGCATGCAGAGTGCAGGAAGAATGTTAACAAGTAAGGTAATGCTGGAAACACTTAGAATTCAAAGTGACGTCATTTTTTTCTGGTGTGATGCCCAAAACCAATGATACACCAATGACAGTACACCTATTTCGGTCCTTTTTGCTTATTCTGCATGAATTGTGATTTGTACTCAAATGCCCCAAATTCTAACAGCAATGAAAATGAACAATTTCATTCTTTGCATTGCAAAATCAATGAAAATAAGTTAGTGTTTCTAAAGTTGTTCACTTTATTGAATGTAAGGCCTATATTTTCATCAATGCAACAAACAAATTAATCTTTACCACTCCATGTTCAATATTACTACATAGACACAGCCTGAATCAGTTTCTCGCATAATTGCATACTTGTTGAATTTCATTGGGTCATTTTTCAAAGTCGCCAATAAATGCAGTGACAGGACATAATTCATTTTTTTAAAGGTTATCCTCGCATAGATTAAGAAGCGATGATTGACACAAACCTGACCCAAAGATATGCAGAATGCACTTTATGGGGGAACCCTGAAACAGACATCAACCAGTGAGGAACAGACGAAGAGAACATCTGAATGTCTCATTCAACAGTCAATCACTTTTGTATTGCTAGAAAAATCTACTTTTTAGGGTGAAACTTGAAAATACATATAACATGGATAGTTAGTACATCTTTAACCAACTTCTTAAAGGGAATATACATCATTTGCTTTTGCTGTAATTTTCAGAAACGGATGAATTTGGGGGGTTGGAAATATATAGCAAATATTGTTACACTGACTTTTTTGACGTTTTGGGTTCGTAGATGCTATAAAAACCAAGAAAAACAATCATTTTTATGTGTCTGGTTCCCTGACTCCATTTTAAATGAAACGGAGCAATTTATAGACGTTGGGGAATTGTAAGGTCAGGGAACCAGTCTAGCTGGCTTGTATCCGTTCAGAGGTGTGTAATCGATCGCAAACAACAAACTAAAATGGTTAATTGGGGCCAGCATTTGAAATAAGCGAGTTTTTTCCAACGCTGGTCGGCCGACCATTGTTGGAAATTGATACAAAAATACCACTTTTCTTGAAAATGACTGTGTTTTAGGTGCCATGATTTTACAGGATGCTTTAGACTGTCATTCACTAACCGTCCAGCAAGATATTTCAAAATAATTTGGTAGTTTTATTTTTTGATGTTTGCAAATGTTGTATTTTCCCTTTAACTACCGGTAGTTTGGGTCAATATTCTTGAGTGGTACAGTGGCACTTCCACGGTGTCGGACGTACACTTCGGGAAATTCAACAGTGTGCATCATGAGAGTTATAAAGTGGATTTTAATTATGATATCTCCTATCAGTTCTAATCTAATCTGATTTAAGAAAGAACTTATTCATCCAACTTTTTTACTGTACTAGTAGAAATCGGCTCAAAACACCATGGGGTCAGAAGTACAATAGAACACCACTATAATGAACATGGTGGGTTCCTTAAAAACTGTTCATTATAGTGGTCATTCATATGGTGATAGTGCATTATAATACACGTTCATTATATTGGTGTACATTATAGCACCGTTTTACTCTACTCAGAAAAATTGATATTTCTGTATACTTAGTTAAATTACTTAATTTTTCAGTTAAAAGTAACAGCTGAACTGTTGAACACTGTTAAAAATAACTACTTTTTAATAAAATACAGATAATACGCTTCAAATGATAGGCGTACAAGTTTCATTTGTGGAATTTGGATTTCAAATTTTGGAATTTCCCCATGTACCAGGTATCTCAATAGAGAACTCTGAACTCTGTTGAACTACATGTACATGTAGCCAGCTGACCGAGGCAAGCTGGACAAAGTGGTAAGATGTCTGTACACTCTGAACTCTGTTGAACTACATGTAGCCAGCTGACCGAGGCAAGCTGGACAAAGTGGTAAGATGTCTGTACAAGTAAACAGGAGGTCAAAGGTCCCTCTTGAGTAATGCATGAACTTGATCACATTCAAGGAAGTTAAGTTAAAATTAAATATTTATTAAATGACTCAAAACTATTGTGTCAAACATGCATTCCAAGTACAATAAGTGTTTTGATGATTTCAGTGATGGGGCATTTCCAATGTACATTGTACAGTACCATTCCTGCAGCAAAACTCTCACTGGGGTAGGTGGAAGCCTTTATAAAGTAGGCTAATACTGCCCGAGAGTTTGGATAAATGGTTACCAATTTAAACGTGGTTTCTCACATTTAATTACAATGAGAGTTATCAACAATGACCATGTTTTACAGCCAATCACTAAACTCATGTAATATTCATGTACTACATGGTGAAAATAAAACCTTGAATGGAATCAAAATATGACACTGACTTGAATTTTTGAAACATAACTTTCCCTCTATCTTAAAAAAAATAGCGATAGAAAATTACGAATAAAAATTAGCTAGAGAGCCATGTTTGTATGTTTTTATTAAGCAAACAATCAGACCACTGATAACAGGCACATCAATATTAAACAAACACCTGAATAAAGTAACGCATGTAGCTGTAGATATAATGTATTTATTAAGAATCCCTGAGGCAGATTGTAATGCTCATAACATGTGTATCTATATACTCTCAGCAATTTTCCCCCAATGGATCCCATGACATTTGTACAGCATGCAAATGTACCCTTCTAATGTAATTGTATAGAAAAGGTCAGCACAGTTATAGTAATGGCCGCTGGTCAAATCCAATTATTTCTGTTATTTTAACAGTCATTAAAATTCTCTGCTGCCAAATTATGAGGACTAACATAGGATGAAACCAAATGTCTATCTTAGCTTGCTTAATTGTGTTTGTTTTGGAAAATTGTTTATGTCTGGCATAAATTTACAATATACGGTACCTTGGAAGTTGTGAGACATTGCTAAGAAAAGTAATCCTCTTCTTTCTGTTTATATTTTAATTGTGTCCTTGGTAAAATGCACCTGAAGAAACAAACTCCACCTTCAAGGCAGTAAGTTATGTGATTCCTTGAAATCTTTGTACCACTGACACTCATGATTCTCTCTGAACTTCTTTTCGTTGACATCTTTATGGGCTTGGAAACAGTTTTATAGACTTATTAGCTGCAAATCAAATTTACAATACAATAATTTTTGTTTATTTACTCAATGATTTTTGAAGGAAAATCAAACACTTCATACACATAAAATGTAACAATATTTTATGCCAACACCAGGAACT